CATAACCTTCGGAGTCTCCAGCAAATGCGTGTCCTGAGTTTATACGGTAGTCATTCATAGCAATTACTATTGTATGTGTGTATTATTCATATTTGTGAATTCGATACTTTGATGTTGAGTATCTTTGAGAAGCTCCGGGTAATGGTCTCTCAAACTTGGGTGTGCTTAATGCGCTCTCTGGGCGGATGCGCTGGCAGGCTTTAGAGTCTCTATAACTATACCAACCTTGTTTTGTTTTGGAATAAAGACTTAAATATATTTGGAAATTTAGAATTTTCCATCATAAATTCACAAATTTCCCGTTTATCATAAAAATATAATCTTACAATGGATATTTTATTGACTTTAAATTTACTTTTAAGAAAACTCCATCCAGTGCTATAATTACGATTTGAGTTTCCAGTTTAAAGAAACACAAGCAATAATTATGTACTTTACTATTGATATTATTCTTAATTAAGCATTGATATTATATTTAACCTACATTTTGTTTATAAATAACACAATTATATATATTTTATCCTCGAAAAGAACTTTTTATAATCATGAGGGGGTATTCCCCTGTAAGTGTTGCCGTGATCGCAAAATTAGTTTTAGAACGCTGCACACAACCCAAAAGTACTCCTCGGGGACCAATTGGTGAAAAACTGCGAAAATGTTTATTACTGTATATACTGTGGTTCCAAATGGCTCCTTGACGAGTATGGTCGTGCTGACCTGTCGAGTTTTTTAAGCAAATATTGGATTAATACACAAAAAAAAATGAAGTAGTTTCATTAAATATAAAATAAAAAGTTATAAATCAAGTGAAGGTAATACTATAATATAATATAATTAGATAAGTAATGTAATAGACCTTGACATAAAGAAAATTAATGTTGCAAGTTAATGAAAATGTTAAAGCGTACCGTTGAAACGGTACTATCGTATGAACAAATTAACAGTGAAATAAAAAAATTTTTAACATACATAACTGTTCGAATGAACGAACAAGAAATATTTCAAAAAAATAAATTTTACTTACTATTATTGGAGATAATAACCTAAAAATATAATCTGACGAATTATTATAAAATTATCAAATTGGAGGAATAACCTGGCGACATGAGGACTTAGTTCCCTGCCATTAGAATACAATCAACTATTAAATTAAAGGTATAACCTGGGGATCTTAGGACTTAGTTCCCTGCCATTTAAATACACTCTGAATAAAATATTCTGACATATAACTAATAATTATTAAATTAGAGGGATAACCTGGTTACTTGTGGACCGCTAAGGTTTCTAACCATTAAAATACATTACACATTTTAAATTGATATAACAACACTTAAGGCCGTTTTCTGAAGTAACCTTTAACTTTAAAGCTCACTTTATATTTAAAGGTTGGATTAAAAATAAAGCTATGTCTATAGTCTAGTAGTCTATGTATTTCTATTATCGGTTTTTGACGTATGTCCCTGCAAAAAACGGCTGACCATATCGAAACAGCGATACACACAAACATCAAATAAAATTTTACTTCAGTGTTTGCTGTGGTGCAAAATAGAGAAGTCGGTGAATTTAAAGAAAAAATTAATAAAAATCAGTGTATTTAAATTGTATATAAAAAAATTAGCAAAAAACCTTTTTTAGAGCTATGTGGATAGAGAAGAAAAATTTTGAGGCCAGTGTGCTTAGGACGACTGTGTTGTCAGTGACTACAGTGCTGAAATACAGTGCAACGCCAACGGGGGACTCCAGGGGCTCTATTCTGTAATTGTGAGAAAATGTAGTGTACACCGAGTGCAAAACTCACCGACTAAAATTCAGTGAGTTTTTCGGAAGAAAAGTGTACACAATTTTGACAGTTAAAACTCATTCTCACACATACTGAATCGCAAAATGAGGAAGTGTACACAATTTTGACAGTTAAAACTCATTCTCACACATACTGAATCGCAAAATGAGGAAGTGTACACAATTTTGACAGCCAAAAATCATTCTCACTCTTCCTGAATCGCAAAATGAAGAGTGCGCACAATTTTCAGGGTACACTTGAAAACTCACAGTTACAGAATAGAGCCCCAGCAGAACCTAGGAATAGAGGTAGAAAGACCAAACGGTGCTGAGGCATTTGTTTTTAGCTACGAAAATTCAGACCCCGATTTAAAATGAGAGAAATTGTCTGAGCTCAGTAGCTCTGAAAAAGCTTGTGAAATTAAGTTAATATTCGACAATATATTTTTACAAATAAAACAAACACATAAACTAAATCAAATTGTAAGTTTTAATTTGGTTTCATGTATTTTTGAACATTTCGCTGCCATCTATTCACTAATTTATCAATTGCTTAGAGGTTAGGGGTACGGTTTAGTAAGTGGCCCACCTATTTCGGGGTATTGCGTCCAAAGGGGTGACCCGATCCAAAAAAAAATTGCACACACTTGTAGCCAAGGGTCTACCCTTTTTTTTAACATCCACTATTGTAATTTTTGGTCACTAATTTATTTACAAATTGGGTTTGAAATATGCCCTTTTTTGTAAAATTCGGAAAATAGCTCACATTTATCACTCCTATTTTCCTTAAAGCAGCCACTTCACTAATGCATTTTTATATTCCCCTTCACTTTAAACTTTATTCGACTTGTTACAACTTTCTTTATTACTTTAATTTTAATCTATCAATCACAATTTATTAAATAAAAACATCTTCAAAACCACGCGTTTGCCTTTGGTTGCATATGCACATTAAATGGTGGCGTTTAGCTGTCAAACTGCTAAATATACAAGAAGGATGAGAGACAAAAGAAAATATGATATAACCCAGTCAGCATTAAAAATATAAACCTTTCCATGGAAAATATGTATTTACTGTCCCTG